GCAGGGAGTTATTGGCTATTATCTCTGCCCTCAAGGAGTGGCGCCATCTGTTAGAAGGGTCTGCCATTCCCATCACCATCCTTACGGATCACAAAAACCTTTCGTATTTTGGAGAAACTAAAAGAATGTCAGATAGACAGATTAGATGGTCTTTATTTTTAACATGTTTCAATTACATAGTAACTTACAGACCAGGATCAAAGAACACTAAGGCTGACGCCTTATCCCGTCAATATGAACACTTGTCACCTACTATAACGCACCTCTCTTCCATAATCCCATCCAACCACATAATCGCAACCGTCCGTGCCAAAATCTCTTCAGGGTTAATGGAGGAGTTATCGAGGTTTCAGGATCAGACCTCATTGACTATTCCCAGGGGAAAACTATACGTACCCCTGTCTTATAGGAAAAAAGGTCTTATTCCTTGTACACAGCTCCAAATTAGCAGGACATCCAGGCATTCACAAAACTGAGTCTTTACTCGAAGAACAGTTTTGGTGGCCTTCATACAAGAAGGACGTTCGCGAGTTCATTCTTGCTTGTAGGGTCTGTGCTTCCACGAAGTCATCCAAAACTCGTCCTTTGGGCCTCCTTTTGCCATTGTCCATTCCCGATAAACCCTGGACAAGTATTGCTATGGATTTTATAGTGAATCTGCCCCCTTCCAGGAACCATAGGGTTATATTGACTATAATTGACAGATTCTCTAAGATGACTCATCTCATCCCGCTAATCAAATTACCCTCCTCTTCTGAACTAGCCTCTTTATTTATAAAAAAGAGGTAGTACGTTTACATGGCATACCTCAAGATATTACATCTGACAGGGGTCCACAGTTCATTTCACGGTTCTGGAGGGCATTTTGTGACCAATTAGGTATTGTCCTTAACCTTTCTTCTTCTTATCATCCCCAATCTAATGGGGTTACGGAAAGGATGAATCAATGCCTGGAACAATACATCCGCTGTTTCACTTCTGAGCACCAAGACGATTGGGTGGAACTACTTCCATGGGCTGAATTCGCCCATAATAATCTAATACACGAATCCACTCAACATAGTCCCTTTTTTTATTAATTATGGGTTTAATCCTACAACTTTGCCGAGTTCTTTTTCATCTACAGGAGTGCCTAGTGTTGACAACACTCTTCACAATATGAAAGAAACTTGGCTAGGGGTTAAACATATCTTAAATCAAAAGACTCAGATTCAAAAGAAGAATGCGGATAGACGACGTAGGGCTGCTCCTACGTTCGTGGCAGGAGACAGGGTTTGGTTAAGTACCCGTAACATAAAGTTAAAGGTACCCTCGATGAAATTTGCTCCCCGTTTCATAGGCCCGTTTCAGATACTCGAACGCATTAATCCGGTCTGTTATAGTTTGAGATTGCCAAATACTATGAAAATTCCTAACGCTTTTCATGTTTCCCTTCTCAAACCGTTCATTTGTAATCGTTATACGCAGAATATCTCCGCTCCTCCTACCGCACCCGTGGAGGATCATGTCGAATACGAAGTTAAATCTATATTAGATTCCCGTATTTCTCGGGGTAAATTACAGTATCTCCTTGATTGGAAAGGTACGGTCCCAAGGAGCGATCGTGGGTCAATGCATCAGATGTTCACGCCCCTCGCCTGATTCGTCTGTTTGAGAGGCGGCGCTCTTGTGGGTTCAGTTCCACCCGCCCTGGGGGCGGTTCTCGAGGGGGGGGTACTGTAACAAGCGCTTACCTTTCCCCGCCGGTCCCACGGAGCGCCGGGTCCTCCTCCGATCCTTCCGGGGGGCGGCTCAGCTGTTCTGACGCCGGCCGCTCGGAACACGCCCACATTTATGACGTGGCACATGCGCGCCGACGTCAGAACGAAAATGGCACCAAAATTCAAACGTGGCCACGCTCCCTGACTTTTTGGGGGCGTGGCTACGGAATTAAAGCCAAAGAACCCACACTATAAAAGGGCTATCATGACACTTGTCAGATGCCCTAGCGTGGTTCTTGTTTAAGTCCCCTGGTGCTATCTTTTCTTATTGTCCTTCCTGGTATTTGACCCTTGGCTATCTCTCTCTGACTATTCTGCGTTCTGGTTTCCCGTATCTTGGCTTGGATAATCGTGTGTCCGTCTTCCGTATTCCCTTGACCTCTGGCTATTTCTCTTGACTATTCTCAGACGTTAGTCCGGCCATTCTAAGGTCCGGTAACCGTCTTTCTGTGGGTTTCACGCTGTGTGAAGGGGTCACTGTTGTGACACTAACAGACACACACAGACACACACTAACAGACACACACTCACACACTAGCAGACACACTCATTCGTACAGACACACAGTCAGACACACACATTAACAGACACACACACACTCACTCACATTAACACATTTTTTTTTAATTTAACCCCCCAGCCTCCTTACCTTTGGGAATACTGGGGGGGGTTCTCTTTCTCCCTGGGGGTCCAGTGGCTGCTGGGCGGCGCTGGCGGGTGGCTGGCGAGGTAGCACTTCCCCTGGGCACTCTGCTCAGCTCCCTCGTGCCACAGAGTGAGGCTGGGAGCCGGAATATGACGTCATATTCCGGCTCCCAGCCTCACTCTGTGGCGCGCGAATTTGCTGAGCAGACCGCTCAGAGGAAGAGCTCCCTCGCCAGCCGCCCGCCCAGCAGCCAGCGCCGCCCAGCAGGTCAGTTAGCCGCAAGGTGTGGTCCGGTAGGGGTGCTTTGAAGATTGTTTTGCACAGGGTGCCTAAAGGCCTAAGACCAGCCCTGGGCACAATCATTGTTACAATTCTGTTACTGTGTTCTGTATTGGGGGGTTTTGTCTCGATGTACAATTCCCCTCTAACTTGTGAGCTCAGGGGCATGTTGCCTTCTCCTTTTGTTTTAGTGTGTCTAAATATTTATCCACTGATTATATAATTACTAATGTCATGTTTGCATAAATTACAGCACTCTGGTTAAGACAGCTGTATATGAATTGTTAAATAAATAAGATGTAAATTGCATTATTTAACAAAACTTTTTAGGTGCATTAGAATTATTTGCATATTATTCACTGGCTGCATTTTACTCGTGACCTTCTCACATCAAAATATATTGCTCTATCAGTCACCATCACTGGAAGTATGGGTATTATAAAGGTATTGTTTAACCGTATGGGTGTCAGACGCTATTGTTTACAACCAATAAGTTAAAACCACGAGGGGAATAATAGATTTGCTGCATGTTCCCTTGTAAGGTCATTCATTTTGTGTGTGCGTGTTGAAGCACAGATCAAGCATATTATGCCTGCTCTGTCTAATCTATGTGCGTCTTTGTATAGATAAACAGCATTACCTGGATCTGAGCAAATCACAATTTGTTTCATACTCAATTGCTCAACGGAAAAGTTTTTGGGCTCTGACCTGAGAGCTGTAATTCACTCTATTGAGGCCACCGAGCTGCACTGGAACCTGCCTCTGAGTTCAGTGACAGCAGATTGACCTCAGATTAGATTAAACTGATTTTTATATTGAGAGACAACACTCTCTTCTTGCGTCCTCAGCAGTAATACGGGGGGACAAGTGTGATGGAAATGTCACAACGTGGGGAGCTGTGGAGTGGAAAAAGCGGCCTTCTGATGAGAAGCTCAGGGCCCGTGGTAAAATGATCTAAGTGGTTCTGGACTCTGGCCACAAGCCTCCTACTATGGTTTAATGTGTGAGGGGACGTGTGAGAGGGTCAGGAACGACGTGATGCCAGTTCCATGCATACAGCTCCCTCCTTCCCTTGCAGCAAATTCAGAAAGCAGAAACTAGCATGGTACATTTAATTATTCATCTCTTCCGCGGAATTAACCCTCAGTACTGGGTTTTAATGGAGTATAGAATTCACCTACAGAAAAACATGAGTGGAAGCTGTATCACGTTTTTAAAATGAACAATGAAAATATTCAAAAGGTATATCTATTATCTTCAGGCTTTTTATAGTTAATGATAGATTTGTTTAAGCCAGAAACAAATATAATCAGAATGACAGAAATAAAGTTGTTTTGTCTCTTTTTTTTTTTTTGCAGTGCATAGGTGTACAAACAGGCTTGTGATGCCCTTCCACAAGCTAATTATCAGATATAACAGTGGGACACATTATAAAACCTGCACAATTTTGTAATTATCTCATTCTTAAAGTGTGAAGAACATTCTAGGATTTCTTATGCTGATTAGAATATATAACATACTAGCAAGAAATAATAGAACTGGCTAAAACTCAGACTACACTGGGTTGGTGAGGAGTCTGCCTAGGACACTTAGCCTATGCCCCTTAGAGTCCAAATGAGATGATACAGCTTGGTACCGGGCTCTGCCTCCACTCCTTGCTCTGTCTGTGTACAGCGTCGAAACAGAAAGGGCAGTGACTTCCATGGGCCAATGTGTAAGGACATAAAGTGGTGCTGCCCTGCGACAGCACTGTCCCTTTAAATGTGGGAACCAACTTAGCAGAGAAATAATGCAAGGACACAATGAATGGAGCAATCAAGAAAATCTGTATTAAAGAAAGCCAAAGGATAATATACAAAAACAAAATATGTACAATGCCACAAATAAATAAATATATATATATATATATATATATATATATATATATATATATATATATATATATATATATGTAACAAACCACCTCTTTTACAGGTAGGATTGTCACAGATCTTGCAGTAACCACAGCCTTCTAGGGTATACAAAGTCCAGGACACATTCAGCTCGGTTTTCCTTTTTATTCAGCAAGAAAACAGGTGCTTTAAATAATAAAACAAACAAAATCCCTTGCTCTTACTTGAGCTCTTACTAGACAGTAATTGCTATCTGCAATTGGGTGGCTTTCCCACTTACCAATTTTCCAAACAAAAGAAATGTCTTTGCAATAAACACAATTGACATTCACTCTCCTAGCTGTCTTTTCCTCCCTCACTCTGCAGCAGGCTGCCCTCTTCTTTTAAAGGCCTGTCTACTAATTAACTAGCTACAGGTGAGTGCCAATTAGTTAACTCTTAGGTCAGATCTAAATTGTGGTCTGTTGCACAGCAACTAGTGCTGTTGGAGCATTGGCCCACCCTGCTCTCCAAATACTCCGCCGCAGGGACCCATACCATGTTTTGCAGAACCTCAGCAATGTAGATTGCAAACTCTAACATCTCTCCCTGGGGCATTTAACTGAAAATTCTCAGGTTGCTGTTTAACAAATCAGGCCTGATGTATCTTCCATCAATCACAATTCCACTTTTACACTCACAACACACATAAACACACAAGAAATCAATATAAATACAAATAGAGCAGGCAGAGCACACGTAAATAAGCCTAATGCAAAAAGTAAATAGTTAAGGCAGGATCATGCAGCCACCACAGAATATAGTTGGGACACGGATACAAAGTACACTTAATAGTCCTTTGACAAAAGTAAAGTCCTTAGGCAGGATCGTGCAGCCACCACAGAATATAGGTGGGGCACGGATCCTAAGCCACCAAGCATTAAATAAAAAACACCAAGGAGCCCAAAGCAGGTCACAGGTAAATAAGGCAACAAGGTTAGAATCACTGGAAATGAAGTATAGGCAGGAACACTGCAAGCGAACACTGGAACGAGAGGCACAGGACACAGGACCAGGCAGAGACGAAAATGCAGGATCATAAGGACATCGGAACAAGAACATAGGATCAGGATACACAGGATACAAGACACAGGAACAAGGAGCAAGGAGTCAGAATCACGGGGAACAGGAACCAGGAAACACAGGATACAAGATAAAGGATAGAGGATAATGATCTGACCTGGAGTGAGGGGAGAAACCAGAATAAATAGGTGCTAAACAAAGGCCAGGTGAAGTGCTTAATGAAGAGAAATGAGAAACAGTGCCAAACAGAAACAATGGTGAGTGTAAGTACTGCACGAGGGCATATTATCTAACGAGTGTCATGACATAATGCTCGTGTGTACTTGGCAGCAGAAAGGGGCGCCCTCCGGGTAATGCCGGTTCCGCCGAAGGCGAGGGAGTCTGGTGGCCATGTTGCTGGATATGATGGGGAAGCTTTGCCCGCTGCTGTGGCTTCCTGCACCTTCTCACTTTCTTGGTTGTGCGGAAGGGTTGCTTATACATGCCGCTTTGAGTAGCAGGACGTCTCCCGGGAATCGCTGTGCCTTCAGCAGGCGTGTAGAGTAGCTCTGTGGGGTGCTCTCCCTCAGGAGATTGAATAGGTGTCGCCTTGATACGAACCTCCAGTTTTGCCCAGAAGCCTGCAAATATTGTATCCAAGTATGTGTTCGGCAGTGCCTTGTTGTGTCTCTATGAGCTGTGTTAGTCCAGACTGGTGGAACAGACACGTGTCTGCCATCTTAGGTGAGTTAGCCACAATCAAGAGTCGTGGGGTGGCATCGGTTTAGGGTCGTTAGAGGTGTTAGCCAGTGGATACCAGGATAACCCCCGTCAGTCCGGAGGGGGGGGCAGCTATCTTCACCGGGACTCTGTCAGCGAAGGAGCTAGAAGAGCGGCCGCCTCTCCAAAGCTCTGGCTCGTGTAAGCCGAAAGCGGGCTATGCCGAGGTTTAACAGGCTCACAACAGGTATCCTCCAGTGCAACTTAGACCCCTTGACAGGATGAGAGCTTATTGTGGTCTGATTAACGGGTGGCCCGGCTAGAAATTACGAATTATCAGCGTCAGATGTAGAGGTCTTGCTATGCATGTCTGGCTTCCTTGGCAGTCAAGCTCCGCTCCCCATTTTGTCTCTTTTTTTCTACCTCAGTGGATCAAAATATCCACAGGTAAACTGAGGAGAAAACTATAATTTTGGTAAATATTCACAAGAGCACAGCTCAGTGTAATGTTATGGTGTCAGTAGTGTCCTGACCCCCCTGCAAATGTAAAGGGTCAAATCCTATGGAATAGATTAATTGTATAGGATGCAGGTTTCAGTGCTGCCACCCACCCCATGTGTTTCCTGTTAAGGGTTAATAAGTACCGTGTTTTCCCGAAAATACACCCTACCCCGAAAATAAGCCTTAGCTGGATTATCGGTGTGGGCTGCAATATAAGCCCTACCCCGAAAATAAGACCTAGGCAGCTGCCGGCCCTTTAAATGCCACAGCCGACTGAGCACTCTATAGAGAGCGCTCAGACGGCTGCCGCACTGCCTCACCTCCCCTTCCCTGTAGCGTGGCCGAGCTCCTCTCCGGTCCGCGACCCGGCCGGACTGACAGGAAGTGCACACTGGGAGGGAGGAGAGTATTACAGGGAGGGAGGGAGGGGGGAGAGTATTACAGGGAGGGAGGGGGGAGAGTATTACAGGGAGGGAGGGGAGAGTATTACAGGAGGAGGGAGGGAGAATATTACAGGGAGGGAGGGAAGTATTACAGGAGGGAGGGAGGAGAATATTACAGGGAGGAGGGAGGAAGAATAGCCCAGGGAGAGAGGAGAGTAATACAGGGAGGAGGGAGGGAGGAGAATATTACAGGGAAGTATTACAGAAGGAGGGAGAGTATTACAGAAGGGAGGGAGGAGGGAGACAATATTACAGGAGGGAGGAGAGAGAGGAGAATATTACAGTGGTAGGCGAGAGTATTACAGGAGGGAGGGCAGAGTGATATTGCAGGGAGGGAGAGCATTACAGGGGAGGAGGAGAATGTACAGGGAGGGAGGGGAGAATATTGGAGGAGGAGGGAGAGTATTACAGGAGAGAGGGAGGAATATTGGAGGGAGAGAGGGAGGAGAATATTGTACAGTATTACAGGAGGGGAGGGAGGGAAGGAATATTGGAGGGAGGGGAGAAGTATTACAGGGAGGAGGGAGGGAGAGTATACAGGGAGAGGGAGGGAGGGAATATGTGGGAGGGAGAGTGGCCAGGAGGGAGGAGGGAGAATATTACAGGGAGGGAGGGAGAGTATTACAGGGAGGGAGGTAGTATTACAGAAAGGGAGGGAGGATAATATTACAGGAGGGAGGGAGAGTATACAGAGAGGGAGGGGAGAATATTACAGGGAGGGGGAGGTGAGGGTCTCTGGGGGGGGGTTACACAGCGCAGACACCGGCTGACAGACTGGCTCTAAGCCCTACCCTGAAAATAAGCCATAGTGTGTTTTTTGTGACTAAAATTAATATAAGACCCAGTCTTATTTTCGGAGAAACACGGTATGTAGGGATTTAGAAAAATACCGCATTCTCTCTCATTTTTATCTCTAGCTAAAGACAGCAAGGTGAATTGTTAGTGTAGGACTTGCCTAAAAGGTGTTGCCGATGTGACTGGCGAGCTTACACTTAAATGGCCGTTGGAGTGATACTAAAAAATCTCCAGTAATTTAATGTTCATACGATTTGGAATAGTGTTCAAGTAGCTTTTTTATTGTATGTATTGGGGCTGATGTATACTATAGTCATTGCTTCTACCCAGGAGTAGTGGGAGTTTGAGCACAAGACTTAATTTTGTATGTTTGTATTAGTTGACACGTAGTCTATATACTTGTATTACTGTCCACTTGACCACCAAAGGAGCAGAGGAAAGGGCCATGTCCTTCAGATGATCATATTTGTAAATAAATAAACCAAATACCAAATCAAGAAGTATTACTTTACTGAGAGGGTAGTGGATGCATGGAATAGCCTTCCAGCTGAAGTGGCAGAGGTTAACACAGTGAAGGAGTTTAAGCATGCGTGGGATAGGCATAAGGCTATCCTAACTATAAGATAAGGCCAGGGACTAATGAAAGTATTTTAAAAATTGGGCAGACTAGATGGGCCGAATGGTTCTTATCTGCCGTCACATTCTATGTTTCTAAATACCATATAAACAGATAACCCCAATACCATAATAAAAAATAAATAACACTGACACCATTTAACATTGGATGGAAAGGCAGTAGTTTTATTGAGGGTTTTTAGAGGCATTACTAAACACTTTAAATTAATTCTATAACCATTTAATTCCATAACCATGTAATAACATAACCATTTCACCAAGATTAAAATTTAACAATCCGCCCTTGAACCAGCCAGATTGCTTAAACCTTAAGCCTCAATCCACCTCGTATTTGAGGCAACCTTACCCCCAATTCCACAACCTATGACACTAAAATGAAAATAAAAAGGGGGTGGGTAGGTGGGAAGCTCAAAACTTCTCACTCTTGATCTGTAAGTCACTCAGGCGTGAAGCCCGCTAGTTAGTAATTGGTATGTACACCTATTACTAACTAGCACGCACTGCTTTCTTTAATCTTAACCAATCAGGGCCTAACATTTTTCCGCCACAAAAAACTAACAGCCAATGAAAATACCTTGGCTAATCTTCCAAGCTAAACTAACCCTTGACCTTTAGCTGACCCTAACTGATTACCCTATGCTCCCTGCAGGATATCTCTGTCGCACGATAAGCTAGTGCTTCTCCATTCTCAATACATACCCAGTTATATATTACCCTCTACAGTACCTCACAATGGGTGGAGGAAGTCATTTAACCCTTCCTGCCACTATTCTGCATATGTAGTTAGAAAGAGAGGAGGCCATTGACAGGTGTCCCTTCGAGAATCAATAGCGTCTCTCTTGTTTCACGCTGGGAGATCAAACATGCTACATTTAATTATTCAAGAGCGATTGTATGATGTATCAATGTTGCACATTCCAGATTGCATGGCAGCTGTCAGAAAGCAAATTTTGCTTTATATAAAAGTTTGTGACCTTTTGCTCTTCTTTGCATACCTCTTATACCTGGACCTGTCAGTCACAATTTGTTTAACTAGCTCGGCAAATTCCAGTAAGAATGACAGAGGTAGCAGATCATTGGTGAAATCCTAGTAACAACTTAGTGCTGATGAACGGTTCATCTCCAGCTGCTGTTAGACTGCACACTGTACCATCATATTAATTGCTTTTGACAAGAAGCGATTTAACTCTTTCTGAACTAAAGCGATACAAGTGGCAGCAAGAACCATGTCATTAGATAATTAAAGTATATTTGTAAGACTTGGACAATCATATTTTTACAAATACAGATTTCTCTGCAAATTAGAAATTGTTATATGCTTGAAATCTACCAAAAACTGATTGCATTAGTTGTTTCCTGGCTAGTCCATGGCATCATCATAATAGGGTTAGCTCCACCCACATGGCTGTTTAGCACAGGAAATAAAAAAATTTAAATTATAAATACCCCTTCTACCATATACGATCTCCAGTCTTTTTCTTGCCCTGTGGACAGGTTCTCCTTTTTTCAA